CAGAAGCGGCGCGCGGCATCCATGGGCGTTTTCACCCTCGAATGCCATCGAGCCCCCTGGGACTGGGGCCGCTGGGCGCCCCCGGCTCCGCTTTGATCGAAGCGGCGGCCGTCCAGGGCAGGGGGCCCCAGGGCCGTTGGGGCGAGGGCCTCCATAGGCGCAGCAGCTGCACCAGCTGGGGTGCCCGCGGCACGGCGACGCTTCCCCGCTGCGGTAAGGCCCGCCCGCCGGCCGCCTCGAGAGGATCGAAGTCCTCGGCGACGTCGAAACCTGACGGTAGCGAGGGAACCACAACCCCCGCCCTCACTGGAGGGGCGGCCGAGGGCCGCTGGGGCCGCGCAGCGACCGGCGCCGAGGGGGCTGACGCGGCCCGTGTTTGGACCCGCGCTGGAAGCGAGGAAGCCCGCGCCAGACTGCCCGACAGCGGGAACAGATGGCGCCATCTCCCCGGAGAAGCCACGCGCCGCCTGAGCAGGCGCAGCTGCAGGCGGATCCCCCGCCGCGCGCGCGTCTCGCACCACGCTGCTCGGATGAGGTCGAGCGCGGGGCGAGCCAGCGGCGAAAGCCGCAGCAACTGGCTTTGGGGAAGGCAGGGGCGGGGTAGCCGCCATGCCGGCAGCGTCAGCCAGCAACGAAGGAGCCCATGGCGACCGTAGCACGGCGCGAGAACTCGAACGAACCCCAGTGCTCGCAGACGGCTCTGCGCTTGCAGCCGAAGGTGCCCGGCACGGCGGCGGGGCCCTGCCAGGATCGACTGCGGTTGCAACGTCTGCAAGGGACTCGCTCAAAGCGGCCCCTCCTTCCGCGTCGCCAAGCGCGGCGGCGAGGGCACGCGTGGGAGAAACCTGGCGCGCTACTGCAACGCGGGCCGCCCCAGAGGGTGCGGCGTCCGCCGCTGGCTCCGTCGCCACCGCCGCCCCGCGAAACGGCGTGGCGCCCAGGAGCGCGCGAGAGTTCCCTCCTAAACTGAACGGCTGAGAGGTGTCGCAAGGACTCGAGCGGGCGGCACCGCTCGCAGCTGGCTCGCCTGGAGGCGGGTGCGGGGTCCGCAGGAACGGGGACGGCCCGTGTCTTGAAAACGTGGCCGAGCGCTGACTCTCACATCCAAGCAGCGGAGCCTCAACCGCGGCGAAGGTCGCGCATAGCGACGACGGGATCCGAGCACCCGCACCCGCGCTAGCTAAGCCCTGGGGCGGGCCCGCGCGCCCATCCGCAGCGGAAGCGGGGCGCGAAAGGGCCGAGGGCGGCACGCGATCGCCAGCCTCCAACCCAGCGAAACCTGGCGACGGCCCCACCTGCCCGACGGCAAGAGGAGGTAGCGCGGAAGCGGGGCCGCTTGGCAGCAACCCGCGCAGCGCGCGCGGCGGGGCCGCAGCGGCGACAGCGCACAAGCCTGCGCAAGCAGACAAGGGCGCGGAAACTGGGTCCTGAGGAGGGGGCTCCCGCCAGGCCGCAGGGTTGAACCGCTGTGGAACGTTAGCTGGCAACGGAGCCCCAACCGTGGCAATGGTCGCGCACGGATGGTACGGCGGCGGCGACCGTGCGCCTGCCTCCATGCCAGAGAGGCCTGGGGGCGGCCCACCACACCAGGCCGCGGGGCCCGACAACGCTTCGACCCCAACTGGGGGCCGGAGAGACGAAGCCGTCGAAGCGCCCGTTGGCGCAGCGACTAGGCCGGCCAACGCGGCGCGCGAAGGCGAACGCGGCTGATCGCAAAGACCCGCACGCGCACCGCCGCTCACCGGAGGCCCTCCAGAGTTCGGCGGCGCGCGCCTGGCGGTGCCCTGGCGAGGGCTACGCTGCCCGGCAGGGCGGTTGAGCCAGGGCGAAGGCACGACGGGAGGGGAGGGAGCAGAAAGGAGGCGAGGAGTAGAAGGATTCCCCCGGTCCGACTCCTCCATCCCGAGAGCAATTACCTTCGTCGCGTTAACCTCTGTGCCTGCTGTCAGGCGGCCGCTGGCGGAATGGGGCGCGCGGAGAGCTGATTGCGCGGCTGTCGCGGCGGCTGAGATGCTGTGCGCACGAGCGTGGGAATCTTGCGCGGCATCACCTTGAACGCCCGCGACGCGGGCTGGCGCTGCGCCACGACGCAAGGCGTGGCGCATCGGCGTGTGAGGTCCTCCTCCTACTCCTCTCCTAAGATGGGCCTCCTGCTCCGCCGCCCCAGAGGCCAGGGGGGAGAAGACGAAGGAGGAGGGAGAGGAGTTTTGCGCCGTTGTCGGCGCGGAGGGCGCCGAAGACCGCCAACCTGATGAGTCCACGTGACCCCAGGCTTGGCTCACAGCCAGAAGCGCGGCAGGGTCCGAGAGCCTGCGGCTCCTCGAAACGCGCTTCGCAGGCTGGAGATACCTGCCACCAGCAGGACGTGGCATGGGCCGCTGATTGCGCCGCCCGCCGAAGGCGAGCAGAGGCTGGGGCCAGCAGGGCCCAGAGGCCACGGCAGGCAGCGTGCCGAGAGGCACGCCTGCCCGAACGACCACCGCCTAGCACGGTCGGTCGGCCCCGACGCTGGCTTTCGTCGGACGGGCCACAGGCGCCGGCCCGACCGACTTGAGCCCGCGCGGGGTGGCGAACCCGGAGCAGACGATCGCCGCGTAGGTGTCGAAGAAACCTGAACGGCGATGGCCCCGCGGGCCCCTGGCGCCCTCGCCTGCGCGCGCGCGGGGGGGGGAGCGGGAGGGCGAGCGGGGCAGCTTTGGGGCCGAGAAGCTGCAGACGACTGCGTAGCGGGCGCGGTGGGGATAGAGAGGAGCAGGAGGAGGTGGAGGAAGAGGAGGTGGAGGAAGAAGAGGAGGGGGAGGAGGAGGAGGAGGAGGAGGAGGAGGAGGAGGAGGAGGTTGTGGAGGAGGAGGAGGAGGATTATTTCATTTGGACGCGGGTGCGGATCCAGCCCGGCCCCCTCGAGAGACGGCCGCAGGACGGCAGAGCGACGCAAGGGGCCGAACACTAACGAGGCGAGAGTCCAGCAGCACGAACGGCAGGGACCGACCGAAACGCAACCAGGGCCACGAAATCTCGCACGCAGAATTGCGCAAACAAGCTGTGTTTCGCCGGCGGTTTCGGAACGGCCCGTCGAGTTCAGGCTGGCAGCGGGCTGCACTGGCAAGCGAGTTGGGCAAAGGGGGGCGTCGCGCAAGCAAACAGGGGAAGTCACCACCTCCAGCACGAACTCTCGTCAACAAACGCCTGGTCCAAGTGTCGGGGGACAACGAGTAAATCATCCCACACATGCACAACAGCCCCCCCGATACCATCCCACCTATGACTGCAGGGAGTCTACTACGCAGAGGGAGAAGAAGAACACAACCAAAATCATCAGCCCAAAGCAGAAACGGACTTCTTATGGTGGCGCCGACTACGCCACTGCATTGCGTCCAAGGCCGAGTCCGCCGCGAAAACGTCTCACATGCGGTCCTCGATTTCTTCAGGGGTGAGGAACTCCTCACCACGAAATACGCCAACGGTGGCCTCGCTGACAACGGGCCAGTGGAACCTTAGATCTGCGGCTCGACTACGAAAACCAACAATAAAACAAGGTTGCCCATCACTGGACGTACCACAACAATCAGCTCGCTGAGCGGCACCGGCTGCAAGATTTCCGCACCAATCTCCTCAAAGATGGTTTGGATCAGCCCCTATCCGCGTACGAGGCACAGCACGACCAGAAAAAAGGAACAAGCACATCATCAGGATATATTGCTTGAGCACCGGCGGCTTCGGACGGAACTTCACGGGAAGGCCAACTGCAAGGGAGGAGTGTGCAGCAGCTCTTTGGCGGTCTACTTGCATGTTCATTGACTCGGACATGGGCTGCAGCAGTCAACATCAGATGGAAATCGGCGACCTCGTCCTTCAACGCAATGACCTCGGCCATGCGTTGCTGCCCGGTGAATATGCTGACTGGGGCGTGCCTGCGCAGACCCAGCCAAGCCAGCCAATCCACACGCCCCGCTGTGCTGCGCAAGCGCTGGCGACGCCCCTGGCGGCATCTCCGGAGCAGCCCACAACAGCTACGCCCGTCGCTATGTCGCGAGCAATGGCGGACTGTGTGAGCGCAACCGGGAAATGCGTCCTCCAGGGTCGCCAGACGAGGGTTGACGCAGAGCGTATGACCGTCGTCACGTCGCGAGCAATAGCGGACTGTGTGAGCGCACCTGGGAAAAGGCGTCCTCCAGAGTCGCCAGACGAGGATTGACGCAGAGCGTATGACCCCGATGGCAACTTGGAGGAGGATCTCAATCGGCAAGAAGGGAAGACAAGGAAACGGGTCGACCCGACCCCACTTCGATACCTCGGGCGAGTTCCGGGTCCCCGTCGCCAGCAGCCGCTGGCGGTGGCGGCCCAAGCGGGCCAGCGGCAGGGGCAGCGGGCATTGGGAAGGGGGGGGACACGCTGCAACTTGCAGGGGGAGAAGGAAGAGCAAGGAAAGAGGGGCGGAGGGGGAGGAGGGGGAAGAGGGCGGGGAGGAGGAGGCGGAGGCGGAGGCGGAGGCGGAGGAGGAGGAGGAGGAGGAGGAGGAGGAGGAGCAGAAGGGAGGAGAGGGGAGAGGTCGCCGTCGTGGGAAGGAGCCTACCCTTCCTCCTCCCCCTCCCCCTATCATCCTGCTCCCCAGACATCTGGCGATGCGTTTTTGTGTTCGATCTGCGGGCCCCAGAGATCCTTCCCTGGTGGCAGCGCTTTGTCCAGGGATCAGCTCTGAATGGAGACATGGCCCAAAAATAGCCCCCCAGGGGCCAACAGTTCTTTTTTAAAAAGTGGGTTGATCAAAAATTTGGGGCACGCACGAGCAATCCTAGGCAAGAGTGATCTTTAGTGCGCTGCTTCGGGGCGGGGGGGCGCGGGGGTGGGGGGGGCATTAGAAGCGCGACAGCCAGTGCTGGGGACCCCCCATGGGCTCGCACAAAACGTCACTCCGGCGAAGAGTCACTCTTACGCACAACCGGCAAAGACGATGTGCCGGATGTCTGATACTTCCCCTCTCTGGCACTCTCTGGGACCGCCTTCGCCTCCTTCACGCACTCGCCCACGATGCCAGCCGTCTTCGGGATGCGGATCTCCTGCACAGGGTCGGGCGGAAGGGGTAGGATAGCAAAGCCAGGGTTAGAGAATCGGCTGCAGGCAGCTGTCTTTCCTGGCGTCTGCCGGCGCCGGGAGCGAGAATGTAATCAGGAACGCGCTGAAAAGGAGCGTGATCGTGCTAGTGACAACGAAACCCGCAGTCTGAAAGGAACGATAGCCCCACCATCGCCATTCTCGCCCACCTCCAAAAAAGGGGGGGAGGAGGAGGAGAAGGAGGAGGAGGAGGAGGAGGAGGCGGAGGAGGAGGAGGAGGAAGAGGAGGAGGAGGAGGAGGAGGAGGAGGAGAATGAGGAGGAGGAAGAGGAGGAAAAGAAGGAGGAAAAGGAAGAGGGGGAGGCAGAGGATTTATCTCCTTTCCCGAGTCCGTGGACACCGACCACAGCTGCTGTTTCTTCTCGTCCACGAGGAACACCGTGCATCGATCGGCCTCCGGGGGGCCGCCGACGGCAGTGGCAGGGCTTCCAGCTGAGCACAGACAGCCCCCCGAATGGTAGCACCAAATGGCCTCGACTTGGGGACGCGCAAACCCGGGTCAACAAAAACCCGGGTCGGCCAGGAGCTGTGGCGAGGCCTGGCCGGCCGCTCACCGGCTCCCAAACCTGGGCCAACGGAGGGCGCCAATAGGGAATCGGCCTCACGTTGCTCCCAACCCCGGGCCAGCCAGAAAGGGGTGGCGGACCCAATTTTTGGCGGTATCCCCCGTTCCCAGACCCCCGACGTCATGATTTTTTCATTACGTCGACCCCTGGAGGTCTCGACCCATTCCCCGGGACGGGTTTTTCATCCTGAGTAGTTTTGTTGACGCTCCCGAGGGCCGGTTAGGGGCCCCAGGTGTTGAGACCGCCCCGGACTGCTCGGGAGGCCTGTTGAAATCAGCCGGAACTACCTGGAGAGGCTGCTTGCGCGCAGCCCGGAGCCGCACCATGCGACGAAGCCAGGACAGTGATCGGACAGCAGAACCATCCGACGAAGCAAGGATAGATCGGGAATCTCTGAGATCCGCCGCTCCTAGAAGAATTCCTAAGAATAATCATCGGGTCCCGCGGCCTTCTCAGAGCGCTCCGGAACGCTCTACACGTTCCGGAACGCTCTGGGCCGATTCATCTGTCCTAGCCCCGCGCGAGAGCAGCATCCGTGCGAGAAGAAAACCGACTCGGGTGAGCTGGTCTGGGGCGCCTCGCAGTGCATCGCGGCCAACCCTGAGCACAGCACCCCCCCGACGGGGGAACGGGAAGGGCAGGAGCGCCACCGCCGACAGTGGGGGGGACAGGGCGGGTCAAGAGAGGCAGCGCTGCGGGCAAGCTTCAGAGTTTGAAGAGAACTTGGGGACGTGCAAACAACCGCGAAGCGGCACCCTTGATATGAACGGCAACGGTGACAGAATACTTTTTGCGGCCGCTGCTGCAGAACGCACGCGCTCTGCTTCGCTCGAAGTTTCACGAATTTCCAGAAACCCTCACGACGATTCCAAGCACGGCCTCTAGCCGAGACGTCCCTACTTTGGTTCAACCGAGCCTCTTGGGAAGACTTCGGCGAAACCATTGCGGCCACGACGGCTCCGAGATCTTGGACAGGCCCCCAATAGGCGTCCCAAACCCCGAGAAGATCCGGGAAGCTCTCAAGAGAGCTCCCACTAGCCCCCAAGAAGCGTCCTAGACCGTCCACGATGTCTTCACTGAAAGAGGAGGAGGGCGAAGGAAGAACAGAGAGGACACACAAAGCTGCGGAGAACAAAATAGTGTTCAGGGCCCACAACGGTTCAAGCATGACACTGCACTGGAACTTGTCCCAAGCTCAGTCCCTCTTCCTCCTCCTGCCACCAATCATCGATGCCATCCTTCTCCTCCCCGTCTGCTTCGTTCCGTTCCTTGGAGAAGAGGGGGGCAGGCAATCTGGAGTAAAGAAATCATCGATGCCATCCTTCTCCTCCCCGTCTGCTTCGTTTCGTTCCTTGGAGAAGAGGGGGGCGGGCAATCTGGATGAAAGAGAAGAGAAACAGGGGGAGTTCGAGGCGAGCGTCGATTCAGAAGTCGGCAGAGGGGCAGAGGGAGGACGAGGAGCACACGCAGCTGGGCGGGAAAGGATGATGAGGAAGGAACAATGAGGACAACAAGAGGGGAAACGGCTGAGGACAAGGAGGGGAGCGCTCAAGTCCAGCGCCAGTTGAGAAAGTACCCTGAACGTGAACCGCATTTAACTCGACACAGTTCGGCTCCGAGAACATCCCTGTCAAATCGTACTCTGACAAACAAGTGACACGACAGCCCGCCACCAGACCGACTCGCACGAAAATGCGACTTGGACGAGGGAAGCCGTGACAAATCGCGGCAAGCAGACACACCAAGGCCTGCACCAATTCGTTGGCGTGCATGGTCACCTGGGCGTGCATCGGCAAATGCGACATGTCTCTCGGCGCGCAGACCTGCAATACAATGATTTGCACGCGCTTCTGCGGTCTCCCGTAAGGGCGACATCAGATAACGACGTCCAGCGGCAAATGGGATAATCCACCAACACCACTCGAAACGGACATGCCAATATCACGACTCCGACAAGAACGTCAACACGATGGTTCGCCAAGACAGATCCGCAAATGAAACGCGACTCCGCCTGGTGGGAAAGCCAACCCTCGTGTCACGAAGGAACTATTTCCTCTTCCTCCGCACCGAAAGCTCCTACTCCGCCTCCTCCATCTTCACCTCGAAGTCTAGCAGCAGAAGACATCACCGACTTGTTCGCTGAGGGCGGAGGCTGCAAGTTCCAAGCACGGTGACCACGAGCGGTCGCAAACGACGGGTTCAATGATGAGGGCCCATGCCAGAAGGAGCCGCATGTGGTCAACAAGAACTTCGCGGACTTTGATGAAGAGAATCAAATGGAATGCCAGAGGCGGGACCCCCACAGCGCCGGGGAACGGACGAGCGGGGTCTCCCTGGGCCCCTTCGTAAGACAAAAACATTTCAGGAGGTGAAGGACGCAGTCATCGGTGCTACCCATAGCGGACGCTGAAGAAAGGAGCTTCACTGGCCACGGTGAGGCCGCCGCCAATAAGCGCCCGCACCCCCATCGAACGACGGGCCTGAGGACTACAGCTCCTCCGGGGCCTGGAGTGGTCCTGATGTCAATGTCTTGACTGCATAACGAGAAGTGGCAGGAGAAGGAGCAGAGGGCCAGAGAGACACCCCGGGCAAGCGACGGCCTGCTTTGTCAGGAGGGCGGGGGGAGCTGGAGCGACCCCCCCAGGCTTTCACACGAGTGCAACTCATCATCCACGCTCATCCTCTCGCTCCCTCCCTCCTTACACCACGATCCTACCTGAAGCGGACGAACCCGCACCAGGGAGAGAACGGTTGTGGGAAAGGGGGCAACTGTAAAAGGGAGGTGGTGGTGGTGGGCAGACTTGCGCAGGCCTGACAGCAAAACCAATATCACTTCTGGCGCCCCAAAGAGGCAAGCCTGCTCACAGCGCCGAGTGCGACAGATAAACAATCAAGCAACTGCATGCCGACCTCCAAAGTATAGCCTACGGCGGCGCGATGCCTTGACCATGTGCGTGATTTGAGACATGGGGATGGTGGAAACAATCTGTGGAGAACTCGCTGGAAATATCGATATGGACACGCACGTATCATCCCGCTTCATCTCGGTCGGAGGCGCCGTGAGAATGAGCGACTGCGCGCCCAAGTCCTGTGGACACGTGACAGAGAAGGTGGAATGAAGAGAATAGGAAATATACTGATGCAACGATCGCCCATGCAATTCTTGGCTATTCACAATGCTTCCGATTGCGCCATCATGTGACATGCGAGATGCCAAAACCGATCCACTCTCAAAACATTGGTTATGCACCATTGCAGAGTTGCAAGAAACAACAATGCCAATGTGCGACACCGCACCTGCATCCACTTCCCCCCGGTCTCGGCAACACTATGAGATCACCAAGCACACGAATGTTGAGCGTATGGAGTGGCATCTCAAGGCAAGCCTGCCCACTGCGAGTGAACCAACTAGAACGTCCTGGGAAAGCGACTGGATCATGTTCAGCAATCCGTTGGCACGTTCGCTGGGCATGGGGGGGGGCAGGCCCAAGCACAAGTCTTGGCCGAGACAGGCTCATCGATTTGGCGTGGAACTGCCAAGCAAAGGATTAGTGCGAGGGGAGGGGCATGCGGACGTGAAGGGTTGGAGGATAATGGAGAATGCTGCCGACAGGCGAAAGCAAACATAGATGGAATGACAGACTACTGCTTGCAATGCAAATGTGATGGGATGCTATCTGAACCGCTTCCCTGCCGACCCGTGCTCGCCAACACCTATCCAGCTACTACCGAGGACCAGACGGGGAGACTTGGTTGTTCCCAACCATCCTGTGGTGTTGGGTCCTCGTTTTGAAGAGACAGTGCCCCGCGTTCCTTCCTTCCTCCTCCCCCTCCCCCTCCTCCCCCTCCTCCTCCTCCCTCCGCCCCTCCCTGCCTCTGCTCTCCGTATGCCCATCCAATTTCGGTACACCCCTCACACGTGTCGTGGCCCCATGGGGGGCTCCACCGAAGGCCCCAATGGGAAAGTTCGCATGGCACCGCCGCCCCATTTCGGCGCGCCCCTCACATGCTTCGTGGCCCCATAGGCAGCTACACCGAAGGCCCAAGTGGGAAAGTTCGCATGGCACCGCCGCCCCATTTCGGCACACCCCGCACACGTTTCGTGGTCCCATAGGGGGCCCTACCTAACGTCCCAGTGGGAAAATTCGCATGCCACCGCCGCCCCATTTCGGCACACCCCTCACACGTTTCGTGGCCCCATAGGGAGCTACACCGAAGGCCCAAGTGGGAAAGTTCGCATGGCACCGCCGCCCCATTTCGGCACACACACACACACACACCTCACACGCTTCGTGGCCCCATAGGCAGCTTCACAGACGGCCCCACTGGGAAAGTCCGCATGGCACCGCCGCCTCATTCTGGCACACCCCCCTTCACAAGTTTCTTGGTCCCACAGGGAGCTCCGCCGAGGGCCCCGGTGGGCAAATTTGCATGGCACCGCCGCCCCATTTCGGCACTCCCCTCACACGTTTCGTGGTCCCGTGGCACCGCCGCCCCATTTCGGCACACCCCTCACACGTTTCGTGGCCCCATCGGGAGCTCCACGGAAGGCCTAAATGGCGACGTTCGCAGGCGTCCTCCCGACTCATGTCGGCACACCGTTCAGACGTTTCGTGGCAGAAGGCTATACCGCGTGCGCTACTCGAAGTTTGCGCGCCCCCCTCCTTCGTCTCACCTCCCTCGCGGCACTCGCAGCTGCATATGGTTGGGCCCTTCGTCAAGCTGATTCGATGATGACTCCCGCAAATGATTTCAAACTGTGTGAGAGGATAATGGATTGTAACAAGAATCCGTGATCGACTGGCCGATCACTTTTGCATCTCGCCGCAAGTTCTAATTATACGATTCAGTAGCAAATCCGCTGTCACGTCGATTGCTGTGCCAATCGCGATCGCGAGCCGTATAGAATACAAAAAGCTCGTGCGAGCAATTTCGCACTCTCATAGCCCTCCTTCCTGCAACCTCAACTGATCATCCTCCTCCATATTCTCCTCGGCCTTCTAGTAGCAGCACCACGATGTACGGCGTACCTCACACACTTAACACAAATAAACTGCCTCGCCTTATGAAGCAACTCCCCGGGGGTCTCCGCGGAAACGGTGACAAAATATTCAGCTCGGCTGAAAGGGTACTGAGCCTGTGCGAGCCAGACTGGGCCCAGGACTACGTCAGCTGAACTGGGAATGCGAGTGACCAAGAATAAGAAGGACAGTTTTCGGCCACGTATCTACCAGCGCCGATGCTGCACTCAACATCCCAAGCGTTGCTTGGCACGCCCAAAGTATGTACAAAAAAAGCACGATGCCCAACAACATATATTCTCACACGCCGATCGCGGCCGCTGCTGGGCAGGAACTCGAGTTTCCTTGGAACCATATAGCGCGTGTTATGTGGCTGGGTGGGTGGGTGGCCCCGGGGGCACATAACATAACAGTCGTGCCTGCCAGCTCGAATGTTCTGTCTGCGATCACTGTCCATGTTGCTACTATTGGCGCTTATGTGGCGAACTGGCCTTGCAGCTGCGATCGCCACGGGGCGCGTTGACACCGCAACGCCCGCTCTCACCACGCATGCTGACGCAGCAACCTACGAATGCAACACCTCGCCTGTGCACACCGCAATGGTTGGGTGCATGGCAGTGCTCCTGTGCACCACATCGCCTGCGTACACAACTGCGAGCGCGCACGCCACAATGCCTTTGCACAAGACAGCTGCGGCCACACAGGCACGTTCCGCATGCACCACAGCGCCTGCGTACAACACGATCCACTTGCACACCGCAGCAGCCGCGCGCAGTGCGGCGACTGGCGCCTGCGTGCCCCACACTGTATATGGATACCACAGAACCCGCTTACACGTCGAGGGTCCCGACGCGGCCTATTGTGTTCGTGGGGAGGGGGCGCAAACGTATCAAATTGAATCTGCAAGTTTGTTGGTGGTGGTGTTGACTTTTGGCCGCCTGGATCGCATCCTGGCTGATTTTGCGGCGTGCGTGCGGCCGCGGCGACGAAGATCCCTCCAGAGGGGGAGGGCCCTTGGCGCCTCGAGATCACTTGTGCCACGGCTTCGTCCGAGATGGCCCTGGCCCAAGAGGTTGCCTTGAGGGTTCCGACGCGGCTCAAGACGGCCCCAAAGACGGCCGAAAACAAAAAGCAAGACTGCCCAAGGGCCTCCCTGAAGGGGGAGCCCGAGCCCTCCGCCCCAAGACGCCCCCCGGAGGCCCCAAAGGGCGCCCAAGATGCTCCTCAAGAGGCCCAATATAAACCCAAGAACGCGCCCAAGAGAGCACCAAAAAGCTCCAATCGCTCATTTCCCCTCATTGCCCCCCGCATGAGCCCGTCGTTCTCCTCGTCCTTCTCGTCCTCGTCCTCCTCTTCCTCCTTCACTTCCTCCTCCTCCTCCTCCTCCCCCTCCCCCTCCCCCCTCCTCCTACGCCCAGGGTCGGCGGCGCCGGCCGTCAATCCTGCCCAGTAAACGGGTCACTGCGGGGTCACAGGGTGGTCGTGGCGCCGTGGTCGATGCGGTGGTAATACAAGAAATGCTCTAAGAATTTGCGGCGCACCGCAATTAATGGAGTACTGCTCGCCACGTAGCAGCCTACCGAAAAGAACAAGCTCTGCGCACCCCTGCGCCTTCGTTCGAATGAACCGTCTGCTTGTGTACGCCGCCAGCCGCGTACACTTCAGCAAACCATGGCCGAAACCGAGCGTATCAAGTTTAATGTGCAGTTTGTACATGCTTGTTGTTGTTTTTTTCGGCCCCTAACCCCGTTGCCTGCGCGCACAACCGTACCAGTGTATACCATACTGCCCACACCACCACGCTTGTGTGCACCACGATTGCCGCCGCAGCCGGCGCGCGCGCGCTATGCACACCGAGCTACTTTTCTCTTTCAATGTGAGAGCGCCGATGCGCCTGTGCGGGTGACACAACAGCAGGCGCGCGCTGCGCGCCTCTACATACCGCAAGCACATGCCTGCGCACACTGCAAGCGTGTCGCGCACACGACGAACAGCATACCTGTGCGCTAAGCAACATGCGCTGCTGCGACGGGGGTGGGCGGGGCGGCGGGCGCTATGTTATCTACTGGGTGGGTGGGTGGGTTGGAGGCCACATGACGCGCTTTAGATGTTCGAGTCAACTTCAGCTCCAGGCGACCTATAACGTTGGCGGCGACACCGACAGCGAGCCCCGCTGCACATTCAAAGGAACTGGTGATATGTTTCGTCCACATTCTTTCCGTACCCACTTCAGCCCTCCATTGTCAGAGGATATGTCGACCCCTATCCCAGGCGTTGGGAGGTTTTCGAATGGACCAGAAATTTGGGGCCAAACCCTGGGATATACGATGGGGGGCGTCTATCCTCGATAGGTGCGCGTCCGAATAGGCCCCTTGGGGTGTATCCCAGGGTTTCCCATTTTTGCTGAGCGGCCAAACTTTCAGGCAGAACTCGGAGATTGGGGGAGAAACATCGCCTGCGATCCAATGTTGCGACCTGACTTATCCCCAGCCCCCAAACCCAGAAACTCCCACCCCAATTGTCCGCTCCTGAAAACGACACCTCGCCGGCCGTGCGCGGGGGAAGGTGCCTGGTCACGATCGCGGCGCGGTAGACCTTCGCTTGGGGACGGTGAAGACGGAGCCGGGGCGGGGGGCGGAGGGGATGCAGGGGGCGCTTTGGAGTGGACAAGAACCTCACTGACAGTATTCACGTCCGATGGAGTCGGACCTAAGACAGACTAACATCCTTCAAACACATGAGACCCTCCGTCGGTCAAAACACACAGCACAGCCAGGGGTACCCTCCCCAGGATGCACACGAACATCCAACAAACACGGAGAACATCAGGGTACCCTCCCCGATCCGACCTCGATTTTATGCGTCAGTCCGACCGTAAGAAGTCAGACGATTCCACAGACAGTGCTTGCATTTAGGTCTTACCAGCCAGTGAAAGGCATTGGTGGGGGATTCTGGATTTTCGCAACGTTGTTTGCTGAGGTTGCGCCACGTTGCCGCCCGTGCCGCCTCGTGGTCGCTCGTGGGCGCCCCATGCGTTTGGGGGGTTCGCCGAGGTTGCGCCACGTTGCGCTGTGGGGGGTTCGCCGAGGCGGTGCCGCGCTGCCGCCCGCACCGCGCCATGGAAGGCCCGTGCGCCGGGGAGGTTTGCCGAGGTTGCACCACGCTGCGGCCCTGACCCGCCTCGTGGGCGCTTGTGGGCGCCCCGTGCCCTGAGCTTACACCGCGTAGTCTACACCACGTAGTCCCACCAGCCCTCTGGGCGTCGGTGGTTTGGAGAGTTTCCTCTTCCACCCCTCCTTCTTCCCCTTCGGGGGAGGGGTTTACCCCTCCCCCTCCCCCCTCCCCACCGACCTGGACTTCGGGTTTCGCGAGGTGTCACGGCGTCCAAAACGGCCTCGGCGAGGAAACCAAAATCATTAATTTTACTACGGTTTTGGCCCCATTTTGGCCTCCTGGGGGGCGACTGTAATCCGTACCCCCCCTCCTGTGATCGATCTCCTCCAAGATGGCCCCAAGAAGCGCCCAGGAGGCCCCAGGAGGTCTCAAGATGGCCCCAAGATGGCCCCAAGAGGCCCCCACGAGGCCCCCAGGAGGCCTCCCAGAGACCCCCAAGAGGCCCCAAGAGACCCCCCAGAGGCACCCAAGATGCTCCAAGAGGCCTCGGCGAGAATGCCAAATCATTGATTCTACGCAGGTGTTAGCCACATGTTGGCCTCTTGGGGGGGGCACTGATTAAGATGTCTCCGAGAGCGCCCGGGAGAGCCCAACATGACCTCCAAGATGGCTCAAGATACCCCCAAATGTCTCATCATGGCTTCCTCTGTGTGCTGCCCACTTGCCTCATCGAAGCAATTCCTCTGGGCATCGTTTCTGGATGGGTTGGTGGGGATTCGCGAAATGTCAACAATTTACATTACATAACTCACATCACTTAATTTGCACCGCGCATTTTGCACAGCCTAGCTGGCCCCACATAGCTTATACCGCATAGTTTACACAAAAAAGAGCTTACCCAACATATCTGACACCTCAACAGCGCAATAACTCTCAGTGTGAGATTCACGCTGGCTTCGTCGACCTCTGAAGGGCCAATGGTGCCCGAGAGCTTGTGTGGGTCCGTGGGGCCATCGGGAATCATGCATTTCCGTGAGGCACCCGTTTGCAGGCCGATTTCGTATTGATGTGCCTATTGTAAGGCCGTGTGCTGGGGGCGGGGTGCCCTTAGCCTCCTTGCGAGCCTCCTTCCTTCACGCTTTTTCGCAGTGCAGCCAAGCGACGACCATAGATCGGAAAAGAACGCCCTTCCTGAGCCCCTTGACGGACAAAGTGCGCGAAAAGCGCTGGAATAGTAACCGTGGAAAGAGCTGAGGAACAGCGAGCAGTTTCCAAATCCGATCTGGTCCCTCTGCCAGCGCCCTGACTGTATCGCACGCGACCTCTCCCAGCGGGAGGCATGTGTGAAGGAAGAAAAGCATCGGACCGACAAGGTGGCGGATGAACAGGAAAGATGAAGAGGAACGCAGCGCGCATGAAGGTGTAGAGGAAGAGAAGGGGGAGGATAATGAATGGGAAGATGAAGGCAAGGGACGGTGGGAGGAGAGCCTGGGGAAGATGAGGGGATGAGGGGACGATGGGGCTGGGTATGGGCATGGACCGGAACCACCTACCTGTATGAGCGGCTGCGAAACACTTTTACGTCGCAGCGCGGCAGAGGCAGTCCGCACGCGCGCTAAAGCAAGCCGGATGACGGCATCGCGAATTGTCCGGCAACGAGAGTGGGAAAAAAAGGGGGAGGCTCACGCGGCGGGGCCCGCTGCGGAACAGCCAGGGCGGCCAGCCAGTGCTGGTGCAGGCACAACCAGGAGCTGGTGCAGAGGCTGCAGTGTGCGAGGAGGAAGTACAACAGGGAATATGCATAGCCGAGATATAGAGCGGCTTGAAAACACAAGCTCCTTGGAAGTACGCGTCAGCTTGCCAAACCTACGATTAATGTCTGAAGAAGACAGCGTGCTGGGGCTTGAAACAAACGATACGTACAAATGTTTCGTTCGGCTCTACTGCCGAAGAAAGAGGATCCGGGGGAAAAAGGGAGAGCAGGAAGAGGATGGGGGATGGGGGGGGACAGAAGGAGGAGACAAGGAAGCAGCGGGTCGGGAAGGAGGAGCGGGTTCAGGAGGAAGGTAGGGTAGAGCGTTCGCGCACCTCCGTCGAAATCCGGGCCAGCCCGGAAGGCCTCCCCGTGCCTGGTCATGGTGAACACTGCGGGATCATCCTCCCGCTTCATTTGAGGGTCAAATCCATGCGCACCTGCACTCTCGTGTACTTATATTGTACATATCTATATACATACATATACATGGTCCCAACAAATATCATGCATTTTATCTTGAATCGTATTCACGTTCATCATATTCTTATTCATCCTTCCCCTCTCTTCTTCCGTCCTCCCCCTTCTCCAAACGCAATTCCTCCTCCTCCTCGCCCATCCTCCTCCTCCTCATCATCATTATCCTTTCCGTTTCCTCCTCTTTGTAGTAACACAAAAACAAGAAGAGTGCTTGGCGCCCTCGATGCAAGGGAACGCTGTGTATTTCTTTTTCTGTTTTTTGGTTGAGAATGCAAGGAACACGTTGAATTGTTGTTTTGTTTTTTTTGCATTGGAAGCTCAAGTTCTTCCCGCGGCCTCCCCCCAGCACCTCCTCCTTCCCTTTCCTCCTCCTTGTTGCAAAGCAAGAAAACCAAACATACACAGTGTTTGGCGCCCTCGATGCAAGGAAGCGCTGTTATTTTTGTTGGGTCTAGGATGCAAGGAAACACTGTGGATGTCTTGATTTCCTTTTTTTTGGTTTGGAAGCTCAAGTGCGCCCCGCGGCCTCCCCCCCAGCACCTCCTCCTTTCCTTTCCTCCTCCTTGCTGCAAAACAAGAAAACCAAACATACACCGTGTCTGGCGCCCTCGATGCAAGAAGGCGTTGCATTTTGTGTCTAGGATGCAAGGACACACTGTGTAATTTTGCTTTTCTGTTTTGGAAGCTCAGATGCTCCCCGCGGCCTCCCCCCAGAACCTCATCCTTCTCTTCCGGAGCTCCACAACCGACAAAAACATAATAACCAGACATACATAATGTTTTCTTGCATCCTAAACCAAAATAACCAGAACAACCAAGAATACACAGCGTGTCCTTGCACCGAGGGCGCCAAGCACTGTGTATGTTTTGTTGTCTTGCTTTGCAACAGGGAGGAGGACAGGAAAGGAGGATGTGCTGGGGGGGAGGCCGCGGGGAGCACTTGAGCTTCAAAAGCCCCATAAACCAAAATAGCCAAACATACCATATGCTTCCTTACATCCTAGACCCCAAACATAAAACCAACAATATACAGCGTGTCCTTGCACCGAGGGAGCCAAACACTGTGTAAATTTGGTTGCCTTGCTTTGCAACACGGAGGAGGAACGGAAAAGAGGAGGTGCTGGGGGGGAGGCCGCGGGGAGCTCTTGAGCTTCCAACACAAACAAAAATAACCAACAATACGCAAGGTTTCCTTGCGTCCTAAACCGCCCAAAAAAGTAAAACAGCAAATACACAGCGTTTCCTTGCATCGAGGGCGCCAAATACTCTGTATTCTTGTTTTTGCGCTACTGCAAAGAAGGGGAAACTGGCAGGAAAATGAGGAGGAGGAGGAGGCTTGGCGAGAAAAAAACAACAATACACAGCGTGTCCTTGCACGAGGGCGCCAAACACTGTGTACTGTTGGTTTTCTTGCTTTGCAGCAAGGAGGAGGAAAGGAAAGGAGGAGGTGCTGGGGGGAAGGCCGCGGGGGGCACTTGAGCTTCCAACACAGAAAAAAAACATAAATGCAGTGATCCCTTGCATTCTAAACCGAAAAAACAAAAAACATACACAGTTGTTCCTTGCTCGAGGGCGCCAAACACTCTGTATTCTTGTTTTTGTGTTACTACAAAGAGGAGGAAACGGACAGGAGAATGAGGAGGAGGAGGAGGATGGGCGAGGAGGACGCTGGGCGAGGAGGAGGAGGAGGAGGAGGAGGAATTGTGTTTGGAGCAGGGGGAGGACGGAAGAATAAAAGGGAAGGATGAATAATAATATGATGAACGTGAATACGATTCAAAATAAAATGTATGATCTTGGGGGGGGGCAACCAGATACACATTTATACACATACATACATATGTGTCTATACACATATGCCTACATACATATAGACATACATGCATGCATGTATGCATATATATATATATACACATACATACATAACTATATGCATTAATAAACCTTCTTCGCCCTCCTCCTCCTCCGCTTCATCCTCCTCGTGTTCCCATGGCCAGTCCGTACCAGCTCGGGAAATCAGATCGAACTGGAATGTGCGTCCGATCGGGTTGCGCAGGCACGGAATCGACATCGAACCGGATGGGCTTCGCCAGGATGCACAACATCGCAGCGCAAACATTGCGCCGCATCGGTCGTCGGAATACCAGAATCGAATCGGATCGGGCTGGCTGGAATCGATATCTGATCGAATCGCGGATCGAAAGAAACCCCCTACCACAACTAACGCTTTCCACCCCTCCCCCCTCCTCTTCCCCCTTCTGTCAGACGCGACCGACCAAACCGACCCCTTCTCTCACAAGCACCTTCCGTGACGAGCTACTCGCCTCTCCGCAAGATGTGAGCAAGTGGCTGTAGAGGTGCCCCGAGGGTGAGCAGGGGACGGATCGTTCACCAGAGATCGGTTAGCCCGCCCAGCCACGTCACACGAGCATGATGCAACATGTCCTGCCCCTCGTCGTCCTCCACCTGCTGTTTGTCACGGCCGTCCTCGTCGACCTATTCCTCTCACTTTTTCTGGTGCTAGTTGTCCTGCGCCCCTTCCTCATGTTCCTTCTCTCAGGGAGGGAACATCGACCTGCAATCGCCAATGCATCGCCGATAGATCGACAACTGGCGCCCGATAGCGAATCCGCACGTTCCTTGGCGGGGTTGGGCTATCGGACCCCATATCGGCGATGAATGGGCGATACGGGGTCGATGCATCTCCCATGAACAAATCCCCACCACCAGCGTTGCTATTTTGGTTTGGGGGCCAGAACTCGGGTCTCCAACGCCCGTTCGGGACGATCTGGGGACGCCCGGAACGGTCTCGGCGAGGCCCAGCTGCTGGAACAAACCTCGAGGCTGTAAAGCCGCCGAGAACCACCGAAAACGCCCAAAAACCACAAACTTCGAACCCGAAAACGTCAGACCTCGAACTTCCCCCCCTGAGCCTACCCCCCCCCCAAACATTGCCCCTGAATCCCTTACGCGGCTGCGCGCCCGGGTGGGAAGTGAGAGGGGGCGGGCCTTCTTAGGCGACGGGGATTCTCCGAAACCCTCGCTCCTTCTGAGAAGTTCTCTGCGCCTTCGGGGCAGGCTCTGAGAGCACTTTGCAGCAGGCCGAGAGGCCTCCGAGCCTTCCGAGGAGGTCCGCCGCCTCTGACTTCCCCTCCGGTCGAAGGATTGCAAAACAACCGAAGGATTGCAAAAAAACGAAGGATTGCAAAAAAAACGAAGGGTTTTTGTTGCAATCCTTTTTGCAATCCTTCGTTTTTTTGCAATCCTCCCGCCCCCCCTCGGGAACCCACAACAGACGTGCGCGCCCAAGCACGAACGAATACGGCCCCCCATCCGCGAGACCAGCCGCGCACTAGACCGCTCGCGCAATGCATGCTCTCGAAACCGGCGTGGATTCGTGTACGTGTACGTCCTCCCTTCTCTCCTGACCCTCCGACTTTCCCTCACGCTCTCCTCCTCCTCCTCCCCCCGATCTCGCGCTGCAAGCTTTTCCTATCCGGGCCCGGCCGCGGCCCAGTCAGCCCCACCCAGCTGCAGCGGGGGGCCTCGGCGTTGCGCAGGGCGATGCTCGCGTGCTCCTGCGGCACCCGCCCTACCTAGATGCGCCACCGTGCCTCTGGGCACGGAGTGGGCGTGTCCTCAAGTCCTTTGCCTAACCCTTAAAGCCTCAATCCTCACTCCTGAAAAATCTTTACGGGGCCCGCACCCCGAATTCAAAAATCTCCCGGTGCCTTCCGCGTGCCCTCTGGGCTCCGGCAGGTGTTCCCACATGATTTTTCCGAGCCCTAGAGGGACCCAGGACGGTCCAAGAGGGCTCCAAGAAGCCCCCAAGACGCTCCAAGAAGGCCCCGACTCGCCGAACGATCGCTTCAAGACGTTCAAGATGGCCCCCGGACGGCCCAAGAGGCCTCGACAACGCCCGAAGAGGCCTCCAAGATGTCTCCCAATAGAGCCCCACGAAGCCAAACTCATTGATTTGCCTTAGGATTTGGCGTTCTCGCCTTTTCGGCTTCCCGACGCTCCCAGGACGGCCCTAGATGCCCCCAAGACCACACCAAGACTGCCCAAGAAGCCCCCGAGAGGGTCCCAACACGGCCCAACAGGGCCCTGATGCAGCCCAAGAGGCGCCCAAACTGGTCCATGAGGGCCCCAAGACGGCCCCAGAAGGGGCCCAAGAGAGGGAACACGAACCTCAAATCCGAGCATTCCGCCCCAAGAGGCCCCCACCAGACCCCCAGACGCCGCCACGAGGCCCAAAAGATCTCCCCAAGAGTCTCCAAAACGGCCCACGAGAGACGCCCGAATTGCCTTCAAGAGGCACCTGAGAGGCCTCCCACGAGATCCCAACGACCATCCGATAGGCTTCATACCTACAAACCCAGGCTGGCGGGATTGGCCGACGGCCATCAGATATGAGGGTGCAGTAGACATATGCGGTAAGACCCCAAGACGGCCCCCAAGAGGCTTCAAAACTGCCTCCAAGAGGACACCGAGAGGCCACCCCACGAGATCCCAACGAATATCAAATAGGCCTTATACCCACAACCCAAACACAGTGGGGGAATGGGCTGAAGGTCATGAGACCTGGGCCGGCATGGCACCGGAAAGAGCGCCTCAGGAACTGAGCCGAGAGGGTTCATGGCACCCTTCGCTCCTGGGAGCCTTTGTGTGAAGAGTTTGTTACGTCGCCGCTCTCCGTTGTGAGCCCTGGTGTTCAGAGATCGTTAAGTTGCCGCTCGCTCTTGGGAGCCTTGGTGTGACGAGTTGTTCATGTCACTGCGCTCTGGGGAGCCTTGGTGTCAAAAGCTTGTGACGTCACCGCTCGCTCATGGGAGCCGTGGGGGTCTTGAGCGTCTCTTGGGCCTCGTCTGGGTCTTTTTGGGGGCCTGTAGGCGCCCTATGGGAACCCTTTGGGGGCAATGTTGCTCCGTTTTGGGGCCCGTTTGGACCGTCTTGGGGCGACTTGGAAGCCATTGGCCGTCTTGGGGCTCGGCCTCTGGGGGCCACTCTTGGGAGCCTCTTTGGGCCCCCTGGGGGCTCGCTTGTGGCCGTCTTGTGGCCCTTTTGGGCCGTCTTGGGGCCATTTCGGGCAGTTGTGGGTCCCTTTGGGGCCGTGTGGGGGCCCTCTAGGACCGTTTTCTGCCACTTTGGGGTGCCTCCTGGGCCGTCTGGGGACCAGTTTTGGGATTTCGCGGGTCGTGTGGGGCCCGTCTGGGCCTGAACAGGCGAGAGCCCGAAAAACCTGTCGAAAAGCCAGAAAGCTAATCAATGGTTTCGGGCTCCTGAAGCCCTCTCGAGGGCCCTGTGGAGGGTCTCTGGAGCCGTCTTGATGCTCACTTGGACCGTGTGCGGGCCAACCGAAGCTCTCTTGGGGCCGTTGTTGTAAATAGTTTTGGGACCCTCTGGGGCCTATCTGGGGCCTTGGAGCCGCTTCGCCCGAACAAATACGAAGAAACATGCAGTGAAGGCGCCCGCGAGCCGCTTCACTTGAAATAATTTGAAGCGGCACCCCGGCAGCCATCACCACCCATGCGTCCGGCCCTCGCCCCTCCCCTGGAACCCCTGGCTAGAAAACTTCGCCCCACACAAAAACGACATCACTCGTACTTCGCTGTTTCCGCTACCTGCGTGGTACTGAGACGAAAAGCGCGTGAACTTTGTGAGGGCGCGAACTCGCTGGCTTAATGTCATGGACCCCGCTGGTGTTACGTTTTTTTTGTCTGCGACCCGTGAGGCGGGACCGATGACACACTCTTTAATGCTGCTGAGCTGCCTGAGCAGCTGCTTCACGAGCCTGGATGCGAGCGAGAATCGTATGCATCCCAGGCGTCTGTACTAGACCCTCCAAACCAACTCCACACGACACAGGCGCCGTCTCGGGAGGAGGGGGAGGGTAGCAGCGTAGCAAAGATAATTCACTCCTCGTCTCGAGGAGGAACCCACACGAGAAACCTCGGCACTGCATTGTGGGTACAGTCCAGCTCTGATGCGCGACAGCGTCGATCTGGCTCCAGGGAGGGGGCGGCCTATACAGTCCTGGCCGAGCTTGTGACATCTCTGCGAGGTATATGCCCCGCAAGTCGTACAGAAAAAGAGGCTACGTTGGCCTCCCTTAAACTCCGCAAGTGCTTGGGCCAACTCATGGCCCTTGGCGAAATCCAGCACTCCACGCCACGTTTTAGTAGGACCCTTGCAGCCGAGCAACGGGCGGGACGCTTCTTCACTTGAAAAGGTGAGGCACCTTAAACACCTAGCACACTCACTGTATTTATCTATGATCTCCCAGTGGTGCCAGCCACCAGATCTTAGAAACTTACATATCGGGCCTTCTTCTTTCCTTTCGGAGTGCTCCGAGGGGAAAACACACAAAACTTTGGCCGCAACTCGGGCCGCAAACTCAAGCTTGTCAATTTATTCTCCTAAAAGTAACCCACTGCGAATCCGGGGCCTGGGGGTGAAGGAGAAGGGCTTGCTTGGCTAACGTATCTGCGAGTTTGTTTCCCACACCGATCCTCCTCTCGGGCCCCGGGAGACTGTCGCGGGTTTCTTGGGACCTGCGGGCAGGGGTGTGAATCGCATTAAACGAATGCCCTTTCTTCTCATGGAGTAAAGCGCATCTTCTCATTCCTCCGTAGAGGCGCTTTCTAAAAAAACAGGCGCCTGGGGTCCGTATTACAAAGCTTGGTGACCGTAGCACAATCGGAATACCTGTCTCCGCTCCTCTCGACAAAAATCGGGACGCACGCCGTCGCCTGATGCTCCGCAGCCTGCGGCGTCTGCTGCATCACATCGCGCACGGCCCCTTGAGAATAGGCCGCAACATGTCCTACTTCATCGAGAAAAGCCCAGGCATAGGCAGCTCGAGATAAATCTCTCAGAATATGCCTAAGACACGAGCCATCCATACATATACCCAAACCTTCGAGGTCCACCGAATCCCACGGGATTTCTTGGCCCTGGGGATCCAACAAAATAGGATCGGGGTTGTCATTGGGAGGGGGGAATCTTTGACCAGGATGATCCCACTTCAGTTCGTCCCAAACTTTGCGGTCCTCGCTGGTGACCGCTTCGCGCAGCCACTGCCCATGCTCGCCGACAGCCTTGGCGCGTGCCTTGACGACGTCCGAGTGCCGACACTCCCAGAGGCGGTGTCGCGCACTGTCCTGGTCCTGGCACAGAGGGCACTGGGCGCCGCAGTCGTAGCCTGAAGACTTGGCCCTGGACCGCGCCCAGATGCCTCCGCAAAAACTCGCGATGGCCATATACTTTTCACGGGGAACAAGTTTCTTGGACCCAGGGGGCAGCAGGCGGACCAACGGTTCCGCGGCAACACGACTGCCAGAAAAAGCCAGGGGTGAGCTCCGCCAAAACCCTTTCGCGGTGCCTTTGGGTCCCGATCCTCAACATTTGGCCAGCCAAGAGCAGGGCTGTTGAAACCCAGGTGCACGACCCTTTCAAAATCATCAAGCCACGTGATGGCCGAGGTGGATCGCCATCCTATCCGATTCAACGAGAGATGCATTCTCTGGATGGGCCCGCGAGAGCTCTTCCAATCCAGCCCTTCTCCGTGGGGGACGGCCTTCCCCATGTGGCACCACTCTTTAACGTTGTAGAAGGGAATTTCTGGCCTGGCCACAGCGACCCACACTATGTGCGCCCAGCGAAGGGCTGGAGCGACCCCCGCCCTCCAGACCGGGTCGTCCGCAAGAGCAAGCTTGGCATGAAAAGAGGCGCCTCGATGACACGGTGGCTTGTGAGCCAACAGAACTTTTTGAGCTTCACGCATCCCTTTGTCGTCCATTCCGACAATGGCCGGTCCGATGGTGGCCGCTTGGGCCACTCCCGCAGTGTGAATGTGACCTATCCTACCTTGCTTACGGGGAAGCATCTCACGGAAGCTTCTCAAAATCTTATGCCTCGCTCCCATGCGTTTGAACCTTTGCTTACGTTTCCAGAGGGCATTCGGAGATCTCCTCTTTTGTCCTACCACAAGGTCAGACCCTAACACAACAGCACTGCTAGCGATATTCCCCGCAAGACCTCCGAGCAACTTGCCGGGTTTGCGCGCGAGCTGGACCGAACTCGCGAAGGTAGTGAGCTCGTCCGCTTGCAGCTGCGCGTGCAAATAGTCTCGAAAACAATGAACATGGCCGCCGCGGCCTTGGACATCCTCTCGAGCACTTCGATCTCCGTCTCACCTTCAGTCGTGAGGGAGTCGTCATCGACGCACGAGCTCAGGTGGACCCGCGGGTGATCCATGCAGAACTGGTCAAAACCTTCGGTACTGTATACCCTCACATACATATCATTGAAGATGTCACCCGCTGGCAAGCCTGACCGAGCAAAAAATGGGTTGGCCCCATATTGGGCTCCTAGACGCAGGCCATGGGCCTCTCCAAAAATTATGCGTAATCTTCACGATGACAGGGTGGAATCCGTGGGCCAACGCTCTGTCCTTGAGGAGCTCGAAATCAAAACTCTCGTAATAGTTGGTCCCGTCCCAAATAACTCCACACGCAACTCGATTTTCACACGCACTAACCTCTGAACGCGCCGCCTGGTGCCACGCAGCATCTTC